GGGGTGCCAGCTAAGAGAGGTTACAGATACTACAGTTCTGTGATCTCAGCTCACTTTAGGGTGTCAGCTGAGAGATATCAGCAAGCGCTACAGTTTGAAAGCTCTCAGAAGGCTTGGAGTGCCAAGTAAAAGCAGTCCCTTGCAGAGCAAGTCTGCAGAGAGCAAACCACTGACTCCAGGAACAAGAATGGCTCCCATTGCTGGCAAGTCAGAAAGACTGAAGGAAGTCCTCCTCTTGGAGCTGAAGCAATGGATCTAAAAGGCCGAGGCAGGAATAATGGATCCTGGAGCAGGAGCAGCAGCCGTGCCCCACCCTCAACAAATTCCACACACAGAGAGCAGCGTCCCTTAGAGCCAGAGAAATGGGAACTCGGGGAATTTTCTTGGTTGGTGGCAGGTCTCCTGTAAGACCTGCGGTGAATCTCAAGAAAAGTATTCCTTTTCCAAAGTGTCTAGGAGCTAGGTACTAGACACAGCCAGGAGCCAGCTGGGAGCTAGACTCTACCTGGACTGGATTCTCAAGTTTCTCTTTTTCCAATTCCAAAGCATGATCCTTTCCAACTCCAAAGAGTGATCCAGTGATCACTTCAGTCCAAACCTTGTATATCCTAATATGTAAAGTCCATAGGTGCTGATTGGCTAGGAGGGGTGTGTGTGTGTGTGTGTGTGTGTGTATGTGTGTGTGTGTATGTGTGTGTGTGTGTGTCTGTTTTCAAATAAAGTGTAAGCTAAGATTAATCCAGAGAGGGAGCTGTCAAATTCAGTGAATGAGAAACCCGAGGGTATTCTGGAAGGGCTGTTTCTCCATACCTTTTGACCTCCTCCCTCAGTGTTGCTGTGGAAATGGGGAGGAGAACGATAAGAAAACCTTTGTGGTTTTTTCATGGGTTCTGACTCCTACTGCAATTCAGCAAAAGCAGCCTGTTGTGCCTGGAGATTTGAGCTTTAGCTGCTGGGCCTTCCTTCTGGTCCCAGGGGCTGTGACGATCACCAATTTTCTTCCTAGGGCCCTGAAATTACCACAATGGCCGTCAGAAGACAGCCTGCTACCATTTTCACACTTGCTTCCAACCCAGGATTTTCAGGCCCTGGCTGCCACCACTAAGCTCATGTCACCTTCTTAGGCCATCACCATTTGACATACTCATCCTACAGTATAGAAGACTGTTTTCCCATACCTAGGAAACAGAATTTCTCTGAACCTAATAAATGAAAGTGATACTTTGATGGCATTTTCACTTGTATGTTTCTTATTAAAAGTGAGGTTATAAATTTTCTAAATGTTTTAAGGGGCTTGGTAAGATGGCTCAGTGGGCAAAAGAGCTTGCCATGTACCTTACTTAAGGTTTTATTGCTTTGAAGACATACCACAACCATGCTTTTGTTTGGAGAAATGTGGACTTTGGAACTTTGGATTAGAATTAGTTGAATGGTTTATGTGAGGCTTAGTGGGCTATACTAGTAGGAACGTGGAAGACAGTGGAGCTCAGAGAGATTTGAACTGTGGAGGCTCAAGAGGTTTCAGGGGAGAAGAATACTAGTTTGTGGCTGACAGTCGGTTCTTGTGATATTTTGCCAAAGAACATAGCTGACTTCTGCCCTTGTCTGACTTCTGCCCTTGTCTAAAAAGTCTGCCTGACGCTCAATTGAAGAGTTTTGGAATAATTGCTTTGACAGAGGAAATCTCAAAACAGCCCAGTATTGACTCTGTTGTATGGTTATTAGTGTTCACTCTTACACAGATCTATTTTTTTTTTTAAAAAAAAAGAGCAACCTCAGCAAGGAACAATAGGAAATGTACAATTTGAGGTCTCAGAAGGTCAAGCCCAGGCTGAGTGGCTCACAGTCATAGGAAGACAGGCTGCCTGCAGATCCAGATGTAGAACTCTCAGCTCCTTCTCTAGCACCATGTCTGCCTGCATGCTGCCATGCTTCCTGTCATGATAATAATGGACTAAACCTCTGAGCTATAAGCCAGCCCCAATTAAACATTTTCCTTAGTAAGAGCTGCCATGTCATCGTCAAAGAAAACCTTACTAAGACACCATAGAAGTCTAAATTCTATCCTGAGGCCATGGTGAAAGGATAGAACCAACTCCAAAAAGTTGTTTTTGACTCCCTACTACCTCCACAAGCACACACACTAACAATAGCAATAGTCACAATAAATAAAATTGTTTAAACCTTTCAAAGGGTGTGGTGTTGTTTTTTGCAGTACTGTACTTGAACCCAGGGCCTCATGCACACTAGGCAAATGATCTAACACCGAGGCAGACTTCCAGTCCTTACAGGTCATCTTTATTTTTTTTCTAAGAACTAACCATTCATCAATTTGATTCAAGTTTTATGAAGTTGTTAACATTTTTAAAAGCTCTTCATATTTTAAAGGTATTAGCCTTGTATTATATACATGGACTCCACAATTTGTCACTTAGAATCAAATTTCACCTATAGTGGGTTTGCTCCCCCCCCTCCAGGTTTTTAATGTGGCTGTTTAAGCAGAGATGTTTTTTGTTTGTAGTTTTTTGAGAGGAAGGCTGGAGAGATGACGATGGCTTAGGTCTGCTTCCGCCCTCGGGGTGTCCAGGCACCTTTGCACACAGGGCTGGACAGGAAGGCATGAAGCTTAGCCAGGCAGGCGCCTTAGACAGGAGCTTGGTCAGCTAGATGTGGGAGAAACAGCTTTCTCTGGAGATGGTGTTCAGTGAAACAGCTCTCTTGATTGGGGGTGAACAAGGGCTAAATAAACCTTGGGGAGTGGGTAGGGGTTTTCGTGGTGAGTGTATGTTGCTGTCTGGGGCTGAGGTGCTGGGAATGCTGCATTTGCATGAAGAAAAAATTCCAGGTGCTTTCTGGACATGTCCTTATAGGGAGAGAGGAAGTTTAACCTGTAATTTGGCCGGTCACCAGGCTACGTGACCACGTCAAGGGTGGCAGAGGTGAGGGTCGGTAAGGCTTATGTGTGCTGGGACACGCAGCCCAGAGTAAGGAGGAAGCAGGATGAAATTTCCAGGTTTGGACGTGTCTTGACCTCACTCTTGCTCTGGACTGGCTTCCCCAGTTACATGGCTTTCCAGCCCCACAAGATGACTCAGTGATTAAGAGTGCTCACAGCTCTTGCAGAGGACCAAAGTTCAGTTCCCAGTACCCACACACAGTGGCAGCTCACAACCACTTGTAATTCCAGCTCCAGGGGATCCAGTACCTTCTTCTGGCCTTCAGGGGTACCCATAAACATGTAGACACAGACATATACATACAAACAAAAAAGAAAATAAAAATTAAAACATGTAGATTGCCAGAGATCAGATATTGAACTGAGGGTGTCATGTATGCTAAGCAAATGCTACACCACCAGCTCCATCCCCAATGCTAAAAGAATTTTTAATATACTAAAATTAATCAATCTTTTATTTCCTTTAGATTTTTATATGAGTATTTCCTCTTTTCCTAAGCTACAGTTATGTTTCATTTTCACACGTATTTCTGAACAATTTAAAAATTTATTCTGACAAACAACGTAAGAAATATACTTAAATTAAGTGTGGTGGCACAGCCTTAATTCCAGCACTTGGGAGGCAGAGGCAAGTGGATCTCTACCCTGGTCTACATAATGAAATGAGTTTTAGGACAGTCAAGACCATGTAGAAAGACTCAATTAAAAAAAAAAGAAAGAAAGAAAGAAAAGAAAGAAATATACTAAATATATTCTTTTTTTTTTTTAAACAGGGTTTTACACTGTAGTTCAGGCCAGCCTGGAACTTACTTACTATGTGTCCCAGACTAGCTTTAAACTCATGACTTTCCCTTAGATTTCCAGGTATGAGTGTGTGTGTGTGTGTTTGGGGAAGGGAACTGAAAACTGAACCCAGGGTCTGTGCATAAGCGTGTGTTTTATACTCCTAGCCTATTCGATGTATGTTTATGTATTTTAGATACAGGGTTTCTCTGTGTAGCCCTAGTTGCCCAGGAACTTGCTCTGTAGACCAGGCTGGCCTTGAATTCAGAGGTACACCTGTGCCCCACCCCCACTCCACCCTCCTTTACTGGGATTAAAGGCGTGGCCACCACTATCAGGTTTTTGTATGTTCATTGTTACATTTGTAAACTTACATGTTTCTAAAATTTTACAGGTACTCTATATTTTAACTTTAAATAAAGCTTGTCTCCTAACTCACAGATATGGAAAGGATTTTCCCTCATAAGATACTCTTGCTTGGTTGATTTTTATATTTTTTCTTTAATTTTTAGAGACAGGGTTTTGCTGTAGCCCAGGATATCCTGGAACCTACTATCTAGGCAAGCTGACCTAAAAACAAAAGTAACATTGACAACCAGTGCATCAGAAATGTTTATTTTCTTTCGTTTTTATCAGTTTTTTTCTTCTCTTCCCATCTCCCTTTGTCCCCTTTTTCTTTTTGGGATAGGGCCTTGAGTGTCTCAGATTGTAACTAGGTATACGGCTGAGGGTGATGCTGACCTCTTCCTGCCTCACCCTAACAAGCATACTGCCAGGAAGCTGGGTTCATTTATTCAACCAACCAACCAAACAAACAAACAGAAAAACCTCAAAAAGCTAAACTTCTTTTCTGGAGATCTGTTTGTTGTAAGTTTATAGTCAATCAGCCTCTATCCACATAACAACGTCTTAGTTTTTCTATTTCTAATTTATGCTGTACTTTTAAAGCACCATTACTTTCATCTCATTTTAGATTATGTCAAAGCTTTTATAGCTTTGCGACTCCATTTTCTTTTGTTTTGGGGGTCGTTTGTTGGAACTTTAATAGGCTCATTTCTCCCTCTCGGCTTCTACAGTAACAAGGGGCTACTTCAAAGATCTCCTGGGCCTGACGGGCCACCGTATGACCCATCTGTGTAGGGACCCGGCTTGGCTGCTTCTGCGGCTGCGCATGAGGATCAGCGCCTCGCCCCGCCCACACCGCATGCTGGTTCAGTCTGGCGTGCGCAGCCTCACACCTGAGCCGTACCCTGCGAGTGGCGGCTGCTTGTTTTCCCGCCGTTTCCTGTGCCTCGTGAGAGAACCTGATGGTCTGAGATCTGACGGGTTGGATCCCGGCTGCCAAGCTGGTAGGAAGCTAGAACGAGTCGAGCTGGAGGCCGCGCGAGGACTGGCGGCCTCTTCTTCAGCCAGTCAGGGCCGCTTACTACTCTAGTGTGGCCGCTACTGGAACCCCCCAGCCTGGTGCTATGGGGACGGCTTGTTTATATATTTATTTGTTTATTTATTTACTCATTCATTCATTGACAGATTCTCACTACATACCCCTGACTGCCCTGGAACTCGCTGTGTAGACCAGGCTGCCTCCACCTCACAGTGAATCTGCCTGCATCTGCCCTCAAAGTGCCAGGATTAACGTCCTGTGCCACCTCACCCTACCATGTAGTAAATTAACATTTTACATTTATTTGTATAGTTGGGTGCGGGGCATGTGATTAGTAACCGGGTGGTGGTTCACTTGCCATGGTGCACAAGAGGAAGGCAAGGGGCAGCCTGTGGGAGTCTGTTCTACCTGTGGATCCCAGGTATCAAACTCAAGTCACCAGACTTAACAGAAAGCACCATTATCTCTCTTAACCAATGGGCCATCTCTCCAGCTCCATCGCTCATAAATCTTAAACCGCAGATTTTTATTTTATTTCGTTTTATTTCTTGGCACAAGGTCTCATTATTTAACTCTGGCTGGCCTTGAAATTAGAGAGGTCCACCTGCTTCTGTTTCCTAAGTTCTTGGACTGAAGGTGTGTGCCACTTCACTGGCTAAGTGGCAGAATTTTTTAAGATGGGTGCAAACTAACCTCATTCACTTTGTGAATGTTTAAGCCTCTGCATAAACTGGCACTCTAAAAATGAAGAATTGTTGAAAGAAAAGGATTGTGGTAGGGAAGAAGTAACTTATTTTAACAGTTTAAATAGTAATTTATGTTATATTAAGAAATTATATTTATAAACATAAATGTTGATAAATTATGTCAATTAATAAATATTAACTAGCATATCCATAGCCAACATATTTTGTTGTGTTTTTTAGAGCCCAGTGCTCTGTTTTCAAATGTCAGTTTCTTCATTTAAAAAACTCCTACAGCCTGGTCTGCAGAGCAAATTCTAGAACAGCCAGGGCTACACAGAGAAAACCTGTCTGGAAAAACAAAATAAATAAACTTAACTCCCACAAAGTGGGCCGACAAGATGGCCCAGTGGGTAAAAGTAGTTGTCATTTATGTGGAGCTCATGATCCCCAGAATCAACATGGTGGAAGAAGAGAAACAATTCTCAAAAGTTTCCTATGACCTCTACACTTACCTGTGGCACATGTTTGCTCCACCCATGAAATAAACTTTTTTTTTCAAACCCCACAAAATTTTTGTTTGGCTATATATTTAAATTATGCAAAATTGCTGTTAGAAAAAACAAAAACAAAATCTTACCATGTGAACAGAAAGACTGTTTAATGTAGGAACATTTATTTTCTACAGAATCAGGAGACTTGGATTCTAATTCCAGAATTACCAGTCAAGATGGAATTTTGGAGAAATTGGGTAGTTGTGGTTATAATCATGTACATCATGTGTCTCTGTGTGTGAGGAGAGAGGATGAACCTGGTCATGACTTTAAACACCTTCCAGATCTGTGACTGGATTTCTGTGAGTGGAAGTCGTGTGTTAGCTGAGACTATTATCACTCAACTATTTCCCTTATATAAGACATGTCTAAGTGTGTAATGTGTGGTCTGTCTGATCCACTACTGCCTGCTGGCTCCTCTCTCTGCCAGGGCCTGGGGCTCAGTGATGGTGCACTTGTTTAATGTACATGAGGCTCTAGTTTGAGCCACAGTACCTCACAAATATGATGGCATTGTTTTCATTTTTTTTAAAGATTGTTTTTCTAGTTATAAATTGGAATATGAGTTAAGCTACAAAACTTAGAAAACAAAAGCGAGTAACAGTAAAGGCAAACACATAAATATAGATACTTAACAACTGTGAATGACACTCCAAGAGGGAAAACAAAAAGCCTCATTTCTGACTTCATATAACTTTTCTACAATTTTTACATATACACACATGCTGTATGGAATATAGTGAAGGTAGTTTGGTGACTTTTTTCTCATGTTATATGTATATCCCTACAGACAAATATAATGCCCACAAATTTGTTCCTAGACCCAGTAAACTGTCGAAAGTTAAGCAGTGTTAATTGTAATAGCTATAATTATCTTATATTCCACATTATTCTTGTTCTTTCTCTCTGTCTGGTCCAGAATGGATTGGTTTCATTGCAACCAGTGTTTCCGAAAAGATGGGGCCCATTTCTTTGTCACCAGTTGTGGCCATATTTTTTGTAAAAAGTGTATGACTCTGGGTGAGTGACTTCTTTTCATATTTATCCCAAAATGTTTTTTTTAACTTAGATATAATGAGTAGCCATTTCTCTGTGTGATGTAGAATAAATGTCATTTAGTAAGCATCAGTGACAATGTGGATACTGTATGCTCATTTTGGAAATTTAAGGAATCCATTAATAAAAGAATGGAACTAACTAATTTGGCAATGATGTTACTCTTCAATGTTTTGATTTGTGTCAGGAAAAGTCATAATGGATGAAAAATGATGTTGATACTTTGAAGTTTAATAAGCAATTTCCTATTTCTTTGGCAGTGCTAAGTATAGAACTAGGGCTTTGCGCATGCGGTAAGCGGCCTACCAGAGGCTGGCATCCTAAGCCCCGTACAATTAAAAAGTTACCGTGTTTACTTTCAATAAACAGATTTCTAAAGATAGCTTTTGCTTTTCCTGTTGGTTTTGAGGCAGGATCTTACTATATAGCTTTAACTTGAATGCACAACCTTCTTGCCCCCGCCTCCCAAATGCTGGGATTACAGGTATGTACCACCATACCCAGCCTCCAGCACCAGTCTTATGTAATCTTCACCACAGTCCTTGGTAGTAATTACTGGCAGCACTATTTTGTAAATGAGGAAATTATCTGAGATATAAATGATTGCCAACTTCTTACAACTATCAGGTTATAGGAAGGAAACTTGAAGGCCAGGTGGAGCATGCCAACACATGCCTTTAGTCACACACTGGAGAGGCAAAGTCAAGCAGATCTCTGAGTTCCAGGCCAGCCAGAGCTACAAAGTGAGACCCTGTCTCAAGAAAGAGTTAAGTTTAAGGTTTTGTTTTGGAGTAAACATTGGGAAATAAACCCAGGACCTCTTGGATGCTAGACAGATACTCTGAGCTACACTCCTAATCACTATTTTTCTTTTATTAGTGTGAAAATTCTTAGGGCTGGGTGAGCTGACATGGTGGTTATGACTATAGCTACTAGGGAGACTCAGTCAAGAGGGTTGGTTACTGGAACAGAGGAGTTTGAAGGCCAAGATGGGGAACATACAGATTCTGTCTGAGAACAGTTGTAACAACAACCCTGTAAGTTATCCAAATTCCAGAAAAAGGGATTTCCCCTACTTAAGACAGGATGCTTTGATCAAGGAAAATATCAAAGAAGACATTCTGCTGCAGTAGGGTTTTGAACAATAAACTGGAGTTTGCCAAGTTTGGCGAAGATCATTTTAGCTTACAACTAGGGGCTGGACAGATAGCACCTGTGGTTAGGAGCACCTACTGCTCTTGCAGAGGATGTGTATGTTTGGTTCCCAATACCCACATGGTGCCTCATAACCATCTGATGCCCTCTTCTGGCCTCCACAGGCACTAGGCACACACCACACATGGTACAAATACGTACACGCAGGCAAATGTTCATGTATATAAAATAAAGACACATCCTTTAAAACAATTTAGAACAGTAGTGTGTGTAATGATATGACATCACTAAATTGCAGTGCCAATGCTTCCACAGAGTGGAGACAGTATAGGGAAAGGTAAAAATGGTGAAAGATGAAGCTGGAGGTAGGCAGCAGCAAAATGGTAGAAATTTCTGTCCACCAAGGTAAGGATCCGGAACTGCTGTTATCCTATTGGTTCTAGAAAGCTGTAAAAGTTTTTCTTTTAAATAGAATATCTTTAACTTGCTGACTCATTCCAAAATCAGTATACAGGACAGACTGGGGAAGAATCTTTATTTCCCAAGGAAAGAACTGTTACGTTAAATAGTATCTGGAGAACTCTTCCTCCTGTCTGAGCGTCATGACCCTTTTGAGTCATCTGCTGATGCAATGAGACTTCACTATGTTACAGCAGCTCACGTTGGAGTGACTGTCTCTGCAAAGCATAAAGCCATATAACGCTTTTTCCTGATATGGCATTTATCTTTTCTTTTTCATGGATGAACCTAGGGCCTTATGCATACTAAACAAGTTTGTGTCACTGAGCCTGATCCATAGCCCTGTGACATCTGTCATCAGCACCACTGCTAATATTGCATTTATGAGGAAAGCTTAGAAAATGTACTTTTTGCTTCTTTCAGATTGCATTAGTTGAAGAGTAAGAGTAAGAGAGCTTTTAGATCTAGGAATATTAGCAATGTGACAGCAGGGTAGGATGATGACTGGGGAGCCAGCCTCTTATAGTACCCAGTGTGTGCCTGTTGTCAGACAGAGGAGAGATGGCTCAGTGGGGAAAAACACGAGCTATTTATCTGAAGAACCTAGGTTCAATTCTGAGCACCCGTATGGTGGCTCACAACTGTTCCATAACTCCAGTTCTAGAGGATCTGAAACCTTCTTCTGGTTTCCTTAGGCACCAAACATTTAAATAGTACACAGGCATACACAAAGGCAAAACATTCATAAAATAAAAGTCACCTGAAGAGAAAATCATTGTACTTTTGTATTTGTCTGAGAATGCTTGCAAATGTATTCCTGTACTTCTGTTGGCACAGTAGAAACTACCAGTAAATGCCAATAGTCTCAATACTCAGGAGGGTTGCTACAAGTTTCAGGCTAGTCTGGGCTACATTTATGAAACCTTGTCTCTAAAACAAAGGAAAGAAGACAGAGATAAACAGGGTACAAGCCCTCATGCTTCAGCACATTTGTTTGGAAATGCTGGTTTAGAGGATAGAGATTAAGGTAAAATATTTTTATAGCACAGTGATAATCTAAATTTAGTTAATCTCTTTTTCTCTTGCTAGTACTTGACAGTTACTACATACTTTAGGAAACTCTTACCTCCTGCCCTTAAGAACAATTTTTTTTTCTTTTTCTCTCAGAAAAATGTGCTGTTTGTGGAAGTCCTTGCAAGCATTTGGCTCTTTCTGATAATGTAAGTGTTTGCCTTTGTCATAAACTGCCTCTTTCAGTCTCTGGCTGGTAGGAAGTACATAACATGGGTAATAAGCATCTCAGAACAAAAAGAAGCCGCACATTTAAAGATAGCAGTTGTAAAAGGGTACTTATTTAATTCCAGTGTTGGTGGTTTCTTTCATTTTGTTGTGGATAGTCTCACTGTGTGTCTTCCTCTCCTCATAGCTAAAGCCTCAAGAGAAGAAGTTCTTCAAAAGCCCTGTAGAGACAGCATTGCAGTGCTTTAGTCACATCTCTCAGGTATGGGAACCAAAAGGAAGAAAAGGTCTTACTGTTGTAAGCTCAAGGCCACTTTGGGTCATTAGTGAGTACCACTGGGTACATAGAACCCCTGGCTGTCCTGGAACTTGCTCTAGAACTCAGAAATCCACCTTCTTCTGCCTCTTTCTGGATTACAGGTTTGTGACACCACCACCAACAGGCTCCCTCTCCCTCTCCC